ATGTAACTTTATTAATGTATTTATCCATTTTGTCTGTAAATCAATTCCTAATCCTAATACGGAACTCTACGGTTGACATAACATTTCCCTTAGTTCACTTCTTCATATAGATGTCTAAGATTTGGACATTCTACCTGTGTCTAAATGCAATTAAATTTGCAATATATGTTTTAAATAAAGAGGATTCTGAGTGTTGAAATGCTGTATCTTATCAAACTTTATTTATAAAGCGCTTTTCATATAAAAATGTAGCGCAAAGTTCTGTACAGTGATTAAAAACAATTCCACATTTCCTTCTATCCACCAACCCAACCCCCACACCTGCCCGACCCCACGCAACCAAACCACCCAGACACACACACACACACACACACACACACACACACACACACACACACACACACACACACACACACACACACACACACACACACACTCTAAAATACATAAAACTACCTATAGTAAAATGTGAGGCTGAATACAGGCGAACCAGTTGAGAAAGCATCATCAGAGGAGCCGTCTACACCAACTCTCCACCAGGAGCTCACGGGACAGACCCCGGCCGCCGCAGCCGACCTCCGCTCCTGATGCGATGATTGAGGGCTCCTACAGAGGAAACACTGGAAATCCTAAAAATATGCCTAAAATGACTAAATATAATAAAATGTGTACAATAAAAACAAGTAAAAGTATAAGATTTCATTCAATTATATATTACTCTTTTAAGATTTTAAATAGTTTTCGATGGTCCAAAGTTCGCTTTGGGTAAAAACGACAAAATATTTTAGCAGAACGGAAGTGCCTTTTGTTTAGACGGTACTGTTTAGTACGCGTTTACGTCACAAACATCACCGCCTGGCGTCACCACTGAGCTGCCTGGCGTGCGTACCCAATCGAATTCCACACACTTTTGCGTCACCGATTTACCCCCGAAAATGCTCGTCTTAACTCGGAATAAAAAGTGAAGACGCAACGCCACTTTTGCATCTTCTTTTCAGACCGTCATCATATAAACCTCACCCTCTGCCTTCTGAGCATCATAGTTACTCACCACGATGAGGTTATAAGCGCTTTTCACTTTCTTTCTTTCAACTCGCATGCTTCCTGATATTCCTTTACATTTAAAAACCTCAAGATCTGCTTACAATATGTATTTATATATATATATATATATATATATATATAGGGGGACAAACAGGTATGGGTCCTTGAGTACTTGAGAGGAGTTTGTGTTCTGAAGCGTGGCTGTACGTGCTCTCTGTGTGGTCTCTGTGGTCTCTGCGGTCTGTGGACGACCCTGTGTTCTTTCCGGCCTCAGCAGCTGGACACAAGTGGTCTACATTTGGCCCCTCTCTCCGTCTGCAGATAACAAGGAGGCTAATGACTCCTCCCCCTCCTCCTCCTCTTCCTCCTCCTCCTTCACCCTCTCCTCCTCCTCCTCCTCACAGACAAAACTAGTGTCTATCAGCTCCTGCTTACTACTCAAGCTGTCAGTGGCTATTTTAGGATCAAAGTGCACACTGGTTGGACTCATTTAACAGTTCACATGGTTGTGATTTGTGTAAGAGTTTACAGTATGGCTTTAAACCTTTCTATCTTGAGACCAACCAACAGAAGGTGTCACAGTAATTGAGTAAAACCACCTGTAATTGAGTAAATGTAAAGTAGAGTTGTTTAATGTTAGCCTGATTCATCAGCCGGTTTTACTTCGTTTCACTTTGTAGAAAACCGTCTGACCTCACAGTGTTAGATTTCGTTCGCTCGACAGTAGGTGGGTACTTTTTATCATTTAACCAGTCGCTGTTATTTGGTCATGATGTATGTAATGCACCACTAATGGGGCTAACTGGTATATTAAGCTTTTCCCAAGGAAGAAGGGCAATAACGTCTTTCCCCTTGATAAAATTCACCAAACATTCTCTTTGTTCCAGCTTCAAATCCTCGATCTCGGGAATCGTTGACAACACAGAATATTTGGCTCTTCTCTGATTGGCTGGTGCCCAAACTCACACCTCTGGGGTTTTTGCGAACCGTTTATTGCATTTTAATAATGGACTCAGACTTGAACTTTAACAGCCACATCAAATCAATAAATCTGCAGCCTTTTACCATAAAAAACAAAAATCAAAGGTTTTCTGTCTAAATCAGACTTGGAGTCTCCATAAACGCTCACTGGTCTTCCAAACGAGCTGTGAGACGCTGCAGAACATCCAGAACATCCAGAACATCCAGAACATCCAGAACATCCAGAACACTGCAGCTCGGGTCCTGACTCGAACTAGGAAGTACGAGCACATAAGTCCTGTGCTCAGTCTCTGACTGCTTCCTGTGGCTCAGAGACTTTAAAGCAGCTCTACTTGTACAAGTGTCTCCATGGCCGAGCACCAAAGTCCATCTGTGACATGTTAGTGTCAATCTCGCACTCTGAGGAGCTCAGGGACCAACTCCTGCTGGTGCCCAGAGTCACGACTAAACAAGGGGAGTCAGAGTTTCAGGTTTGCAGCTAAAACCTGGAACAGTCTGAACATGTGAGACACTCTTCTGTGACGCTGTTTAAATCCAGACTCAAACATTTCTGTTAACTGTGCCTGAAAGGTTTTCATTCCGCACTCTTCTCTCCAATTTATGTCTCTCTTTTTTAATTTTAATCTTCATGATTGTTTATGTTTGATTTGTTTATTATGATTTTAATGTATTTCTTATGTAAACACTTTGAATTACTTTGTTACGAATTTGCTATACAAATAAACTTGCCTTGCCTTGCTTTTGATTCTTGACTTAATCGTTGGAGAGAAATGAAATTGAGCGGAGGCACTAGGTGGCGCCGGCCTGGCTAGTTTAATCTCACACTGTGGAACATTTCAGGCAGAGACGTGGCATCTCCATAGAAACAAGCAAGTGATGGACCCGCAGCCAAAAAGTTAGACAGTGCACTTTTAAAGAACGGTCACTACCTAAACCCCAGCCCCTACTGCAAATCCTAATCCTATTGCAGGTTCTGAGCTTTCACAGAATAATATGATATAAACACAACATGTGACAACATCATTTAAATAAATCAAAGTTAACGCAGACCTTTTCTACAAAATCGACAACTCAGAGCTTTTACTCATGTCATAGATCAGGGGTGTCAAAAAACTGGGACTAAATCGTGGACCAAACTAAATATTTATTGACAAATTTCAACAACATCTGCATGTTTTCTCTTAAAATAAATGTTTAATAATAGTTTTGCTTAAACATTGAATCCAGGACAAGCATGATTTAAAACAATAACAACATTTTAAATAAATAATGTCTCAATAGCCTATCAACCAGCTCTAATACATATTTGGTATGATCTTGTGGGCCAAATATAATTGTATTGTGGGCCAAATTTGGTCCCTGGGCCTGAGTTTGACATGTCTATCAGAGTTGTTTCCTCTTCTCATTGACCCTCTGAAGTTGTGTTTGGAGTGATTCGTGCAGGTTTGAGGAATCTTTAATCACTTAATTTCAAGACGCCATTTTACAGATCAACCCCCGTTTTCACCATCACCGGCACACGCCCACTGTGACGTACACACTTCGCTCTCCAATTTTATTTTCTGCTCCCTGGTGTGATCTGCAGCTACACCGCTCTGTGCTGGGATGATGTTTGGTGACGTCAGCTTCCATTAGACACCACGGTTTACTAACACAGATGGTTTCAGATGAATATTGTGATTTAAAATGTGCAAATTATAACACAGTGGTCCACAGGTGTCATAGTTTATTATCATACAGCGAGCTCAAGGACAATATGAAACTTTTCTAGGATGACCACCTCAAATTGTAGAAAAAAAAACGTTCTACTGAATGTGAGACATGGAGGGACAGACTTGGGAAATTGAAGCTCCTGGATAACTACAATATTTTATTTTTTTTATTAACCATAACACAGGGAGAGATTGGAACAGCAAGGTCCCAATGTAATAAAACCCTGAAACCAACACACCCAAAAGTCTCGATTTCTTTGCAAGTAAAAATATATTATGTTTTCTATCGATGAAATGAAAAAGTGTAACATTCTGGAAAGAAGTGTTATGAGCAGATGTGGGTAGTACTCAGTTACGTTTACTTGAGAAACTTTTTAAACATTGTACTTTGTGGTCCATGTTCCTTGCAACTAGAGGTGAGTGAAGTAACCAGACTTGTACTCAAGTAAGAGTAACGTTACTTCAAAATAATGCAACAAAATAATATTACTCAATTAGAAGTGCAAAGTGGTCCGAGAAAGTATTTGGGAAAACTACTACTCAAGTAAGAGTCACTCAAAAAGGACTAAACTAAATCAGATATGAAGGAGCGCTGCACAGAAAAGGAAGCATAACTTTTACTCAAGTACTTTTTCTCTACTTGAGTCATAGTTTTATTGAAGTAACAGCAGTATTACTTGGGTAAAAGTTATGCTTCCTTTTCCTTGCAATGCTCCTTCAGATATGATTTAGTTTTAAGTCTTTTTTAAGTTACTCTTACTTGAGTAGTAGTTTTGCCAAATACTTTCTTGGACCACTTTGCACTTCTAATTCAGTAATATTACTTTGTTGTATTATTTTGAAGTAACGTTACTCTTACTTGAGTACAATTCTGGTTACTTTACTCACCTCTAGTTGCGAGGAACATGGACTAAAAGAGCGCATTACGCATCCTGTAACTATGGATACGCTTTGACATTTCCTTATCACATTCCGTCTTGTGATTCCGTGCGTAAAGATCCACGCCCGGGACGGTAGCGGCGCGGTGGGTTTGGGAAAACGGATGGGGGGGGGGGGGGTCGGGCAAATCAAACAGCAGCAGGAGAAGTGTTTATTCGGGGAGCCATACATGGATCAGGGCGCACGGAGTTCCCTGTCCGCGCCATTCCATTCATGGTGAGCTGGTGTCAATGGAACCGCGCGCTGCCAAATATGGAGAGGTTTTTACGCAGCGCGGACCGGAGCCTCCCCACAGACCCGGAGGAGGTATAAAAGTGAGGCCGGGGCGCAGTGGAGGGACACCCCGGTTTGGTGCTCTGAGGACCGGCCTGCTCTGAACTTCACTGGTGAGTACAGTCACAGACAAGACGCACGGGACTTTCACTGCAGTAGAGTAACTTAATTTAACCCAGTGGACCGGAATAACGGGTGGTCCGCTCACGTGGACGAGCTCAGATGTTTACGAGTGCGCGTTCACGTGGATTGGACTAACAGTAATAGTAGGATTACACTGAAGCTCATAACTGCTGTATAAATGTGATGTGGTGCACAGGGCCACGCGGGGGCCCACAGTGGTGTTAGTGCAGTATAAATAGGAGATGAATGGGATGTGCTCGGCTGCTGTGCGTAAACACGCGCCGTGCCAAGTCTGTTTTAGAACAACAGGGCGGGGGTCAGCCCCAAGAAAACAAGTTAAACTTTCATTTGTGGAACCTTTGCGCGTCACAGAAAAACAAGTGTGACTGCAGAAGAATTAAAGGATATAAAGTTTTGGAGGAGAGTGTGCGGTCGTATCGGTTTGTTACTAAAACTTGAAATGCCGCGTGGTTTGTCCACAGACCCTCACCATGTGTGACGATGAAGAGACCACCGCGCTCGTGTGCGATAACGGCTCGGGGCTGGTGAAGGCGGGCTTCGCGGGAGATGACGCTCCTCGCGCCGTGTTCCCCTCCATCGTGGGCCGGCCCCGTCACCAGGTAAACCGCGCGTGCACATCAGTTAAGTGTGTGTGGTGGAGTAGCGCTCACGCGCACCGTGCGTCCGCAGGGTGTGATGGTGGGCATGGGCCAGAAGGACTCGTACGTGGGAGACGAGGCCCAGAGCAAGAGGGGCATCCTGACCCTCAAGTACCCCATCGAGCACGGCATCATCACCAACTGGGACGACATGGAGAAGATCTGGCACCACAGCTTCTACAACGAGCTGCGCGTGGCCCCCGAGGAGCACCCCACCCTCCTCACAGAGGCGCCCCTCAACCCCAAGGCCAACAGGGAGAAGATGACGCAGATCATGTTCGAGACGTTCAACGTGCCCGCCATGTACGTGGCCATCCAGGCCGTGCTGTCGCTGTACGCCTCCGGACGTACCACAGGTGAGTGCCCGCGCACACGCACGTGTCTTTACGCACGTAAGTTGCGGCTAAACTCTGTGACATCTGCAGGTATCGTGCTGGACTCCGGTGACGGTGTGACGCACAACGTGCCCATCTACGAGGGCTACGCTCTGCCGCACGCGATCATGCGCTTGGACTTGGCCGGACGTGACCTGACCGATTATCTGATGAAGATCCTAACAGAGAGGGGCTACTCCTTCGTCACGACAGGTGCGCCCTGCCTCATCTAATATAAAATAATATTACTGTATAATAATCAAAACATTATATATTATTTGACACGTGCTCTTCACTGACCCCGTGTGACCCCGTGTGACCCTACAGCTGAGCGCGAGATCGTGCGTGACATCAAAGAGAAGCTGTGTTACGTGGCTCTGGACTTTGAGAACGAGATGGCCACGGCCGCCTCCTCTTCCTCTCTGGAGAAGAGCTACGAGCTGCCCGACGGACAGGTCATCACCATCGGCAACGAGAGGTTCCGCTGCCCCGAGACCGTCTTCCAGCCGTCTTTCATTGGTGCGTCATGCGTAATTACGCACACAATATTTACACTGGCTCCAGTGTAGAGATTTATTCACTCCCAAAATACCACAAATCAAAGTCACTATCAATTCACTTAACAACAACAACAACATAAAAGAGGAGGAAAACACGATATAAGATGTAAGATTTGGACTTGTGTCTGGCATTTCCGTATCATTGGGACTTCAAGTCCAGTCTAGGCCTGAACCAGGACTAAACCAGGACTAAACTAAGACCAAGCCAAGACTACATCATGGACTAAACCTTGACTAGAATCAGGACTAAACTAGGACATGAACTAAACCAAACCTATATCAGGACTAAACTAGGACTAAACCAACACTACACTAGGACTACAAATCAAGTCTACATCAGGACTAAATTGGAACTAAACCAGAACTAAACCAGGACTACATCAGGGTCTGGAAAGTAGAATGAGACAGAAAACTCAATTTGGTCAACAGTGTTATGCTATGAAACCATCTTTGTGTACATTTTGGATAAACCACCTGTCAACATGCACCTGTCGCACACGCACCTGTCTCTGTGTGGCACCTGACACTTCGCCCTCTTGTGGACAGGTATGGAATCCGCGGGCATCCATGAGACCACCTATAACAGCATCATGAAGTGTGACATCGACATTCGCAAAGACCTGTACGCCAACAATGTGCTATCCGGAGGCACTACCATGTATCCGGGCATCGCTGACCGCATGCAGAAGGAAATCACCGCCCTGGCACCGTCCACCATGAAGATCAAGGTCAGGAGAGACAAACATCAGTGGTAGTAGGAACGGTACTTGTAGAAGTAGCAGTAAAAGTAATTGTAGTAGAAGAAGTAGAAGAAGTGGCAGTGTAGTAGAAGTAG